TTAATGTGTTAAACTGTAGGGTTTGTTAATTGAAGCAGATATGTTTCTGAATGTTAGTTCTTTCTCTGTGTCCATTCAATCCCATACATTCAGTCTCAAGCCCTGCACTCACACAATATATTGGGAGTGTTTTAAGATGACTTTTAATTGAGTCAAAGAGGAAGAAACAAATTAGTTAGAATCTTGCACCAGAGCCAAAAAGACACGTGCCCTCATTTTATTGAAATGCATCTACTCTAAGAGGCTTATCTAAACTAATCCTTCAAATTAGCTGTAAGAAGGTACATTCAAGAAAGCTCCTTTGGAAAGACTGGGGGGGAAAATCATCCACAAAAACCCCCAACATTTAACTGACCTAGGAAGCAAGAATTTGGCACAGAATTAATACCGGAGAAAAATGAGACCAGTGAAAGATCCTGAACTCAGGAGAACCTGACTGTGCTGGGGAATCAGAGCTTTCACCCTGGGAAATGAACTGCTCTGAAAGAGTGGGAAGAAACCAGGAACAAAGGCTGTGTTCAAATGCTCAAGAGGAATCAACTCCTTCCTCACCAAAAGGTCTGAGCTCCCCTTAACTCATCTCTAGACATCCATGGAAATAAACCAGCCTGACCTTGAACCCAAGGGAAACAAAGACAAATTCCACGGCTTTAGCTGGAGCAAGGTTGGGGGGGGATGTGTCACTCCTCTCTGACATCACATGCTCCCCGTGACACCACATCCCCCCTGTGACATCACACCTCCCCTATGACATCACATCTCCTATATGACATCACATCCATCATATGACATCACATCTGTCCTGAGATATCATATAACCCCTGTGACATCATGTCCTCCCCTGTGACATCACAGCTCTCCTATGACATCACAGCTCCCTGTGACATCACATCCTCCACTATGAAATTACATCCATCATATGACATCACATCCTTCATGTGACATCATATCTCCTCTATGACATCAAATCCATCATATGACATCACACCTCTCATGTGATATCATATAATCCCTGTGACATCATTTCCTCCCCTATGACATCACATCCTTCATGTGACATCACATCTTCATTATTACATCACACCTCCCCATGACATCAAAGCTCCTCTGTTACGTCACAGCTCCTCTGTGGCACCACACCTGTCCTGTAACATCACATCTCCCCTATGACCTCACATCCATCATATGACATCACACCTCTCCTGTGATGTCACATCATCCCTGTGATGCCCTGTCCTTCTCTGTGAAATCATAACTCCTCCATGACATCACATCCTCCCCAGGACATCACAGCTCTCTTATGATGTCACATCCGTCATATGACATCATGTCTCCCTTGTAACATCATGTCCTCCCCATGACATCACATCCTTCCTGTGATATCATCTCTCCTCTATGATATCACATTCTCCCCTGTGACATCACACCTCTCCTGTGATATCATATCATCCCTGTGATGTCACGTCCTCCCCTCTGACATCACATCTCCCACATGACATCATACCTCCTCATGACATAACAGCTCTCCTGTGACATCACACCAGTGTTTTGGCCCCTGCTGAGCACAGCACCAACACTGGGACATTCCTTCCTTAGCTGAGGGCAAGAGCCTGGCAGGGGACCCAAGCAGGCCAGCTGAGCCCAACTGAGCCAAGGGACATTGCAGCCCATGGGAGGTCAGCTCAGCTCTAAAAGCTGAGGCAGGGAGCAGGAGGGGGGCATTCATTGTCTGATGGCTGCCTGCTGAGGAACCGTCCCGCGGACCCAAGCCCTGCTCCTCGGGAGTGGCCGACCATGGCTGCTCATGGGAAGCAGAGAACAAACCCTGCTGTCTTTGGCTTCTGTGTGCACAAGCTTTGCTTTTTCCTTTAAAAAACCTGCCTTATTTAAACCCACTATTTTTTTTTCCACCCTACTCTCTCCCCTGTCCAGCTGGGAAGGGGAGTGATAGAGTGGTTGGGAGGGCACATGGTATCCAGCCAAGGTCAACCCACCACACACCTGAACACTTCCAGAGACTCCACCACCTCCCTGGGCTACTTGTTCCAGTGCCTGAACACTCTCTCAGTGGAAAAAGGTTTCTTTAATATCTAATATGAACCTTGCCCAACGCAATTTAAGGCCATTCCCTCACAACCTTTCACTATAGCATTGTGCAGGAGATGCTGGGGGAGATGGTGCCAAAGGCTTTCTGGAATTCCACAGAGACACATCCCTGCCTTTCCCTCAGCTGCTGAGTGGGTCCTTTGTCAGAGAAGGAGATGAGGTTGGTCAGGCAGGACCTGCCTTTCCCAACCCCACGCTGGCTGGGCCTGATCCCCTGGTTGTCCTGCCCATGCCATGGGATGGCACTGAGGAGGATCTGCTGCATGGACTTCCCCGGTCCTCAGGCCAATGGGACAGGCCAGGAGTTCCCCAGATCCCCCTTTTGACCCTTCCTGGGGATGGGCATCCCATGTGCTTGTTGCCAGTCAGCTGGGACTTGTGCAGTTGTGCAGCACTGTTGGGGAATGAGTGAGAGTGGCTTGGCCAGCTCCTTCTCCAGCTCCCTCAGGACTCTTGGCTGCATCCCATGTGGGCCCAGGCACTTGGGGGGTCTCACTGGCAGAGCAGGTCACTGACCATTTCCTCCTGCATTGTGGGGGCTTCACTCAGCTCCCCATCACCAGCTTCCAACCAAAGCCTGCCTGCCAGGTGTCCAAGGGGTCAGTTCTGCTGCCCCCTCCTTCCTTCCCCCACAATGGAAAACTCCCTCATTTTGGGTCCCTGTGCCCCAGACGGCTCCAACCACCACCTCACCCACCAGTCCCACAATCATGGAATGCTTTGGCTTGGGAGGGGCCTTAAAGAGCATCTCAGCACCCTCAGTCAAGAATTCCTTCCTACTATCTCCTCCAACCCTTCCCTCTATCCATGTGAAGCCACTGCCCCTTGTCCTGTCACTCCAGGCCCTTGTCCAAAGTATCTCTCCATCTTTCTTGTTGGCTCCCTTCAGGCACTTCAAGGCCACAATTAGGTCACCCCTGAGCCTTCTCTTCTCCAGCCTCAACAATCCCAATTCCCTCAGTCTTTTCTCACAGCAGAGCTGCTCCATCCCTCTGATCCTCTTGCTGCTCCCCTCTGCACTCGCTCCAACAGGTCCATGTCCTTCCTGGGCTGGAGCCCAGAGCTGGAGGCAGCTCTGCAGGTGGGGCAGCATTACAGCCACACGTTCCAGCAAGGACATGGTGGAACCTCATGGAACCAAGGACCATTGTGACACTGCAGGGCCTTCTGGAGCCAAAGGAGCCCTGGGACACTATGGAATCTCATGGAATCAAGGGAGCACTGTCACCCTGGGAAAACTCCTGGAATTCAGGGCTCATTGTGACACTGCAACTCCCCATGGAACAAAAGAAACCCTGGGACGCTGCAGAAACTCATGGAACAAAGGGACCATTGTGACACTGATGGGGCTGATGGAATCAGGAATCCATTGGGACAATCCAGGGCCTCATGAAATCAAAGGAATTCTGGGACACTGTCAAACCTCCTGGAACCAAGGGTTCCTGGTGACATGTGTGTCCTCCTGGAACCAAGGGAGCCCGGAGATATTTCTGAACCTCCCAGAATCCAGAGGCCATTGGGACCCTGCAGAACCTCCTGCATTCCAGTGCTCCTTGTGAAACTGCAGGCTCTCCTGGAACCCAAGGATTCCTGGAACACTGCAGAGCTCACGGAACCAAGGGGCCACTGTCCCACTGCAGCTCCTTCTGAAGCACAAGGGACCCTGGGACAATGGGAAATCTCCGAGAATCCAAAGGGCATTTTGGGACTGCAGGGCCCCATGGAACTAAAAGAACCTTTGGAGACTGTGGAAGCTCATGGAATCCAGGGGCCACTGGGACATATGGGGCCTTCTGGAACCAAAAGAACCCTGATAATTTCTGTGGGAACAAGTTAAGGCAGCAGCAGTTGCATTCAGTTAATCAGGATCCAAAAGGAGTGTTTTGGCCTTGACTGGTGTTTTCCATCCAGAGAGGGCTGTTTGCCAAAGTGGAAACCACTCGGAACGCTCTGCATGGCAGCCTGTGTTTTTCTCTGGTGGCTGAACACAGCCAGCACATGAGGGGAGGGGAATGTGTGGGATCAGGGCACTGCTTTGGGGCCATGCTGGGAATTCCAGTGGACTAAAAGACAAAGCCCAGGTGCTGTTTCCAAAGGAACCCCAATGAAAGGGGGACGCCGGAAAGATGGGTGGACAAGTCCTGAAATGGAACTCTGTGTGTGCAGCCTCATTTTCTCCTTCAGTGCCCACAGGAGAGGGGGCAAAAAGTGGGGGTTGGGACCCCAAAACTGTTTGGGGGGGGAAATGGGGATTCAGGGAACAATGGAAAAGTGGAAGGATTAGGGAGAAGGGTGAAATAGGTGAGGTGGTCTGGCGGGTCTGACGGTCTTTGGGCACAGGAAGGTTGGCAAAGCAGGGTGGTCCCCCTGAGCTTCCTATTTCTGTGGGTTGCTGGAGGCTGCTGGATCCAATCTCAGCCTTGGGTTATTCCAACAGTTTCCGTTTAGAGGAATTACAGAGGTGTGACTGCAACACTTTGGTCCCCCAGGTCTTAATGATGGCAAATCAGATCTATTGATAGAAATCAATTTATTTAGGGTTACAAATGATCAGACAAAAGATCTTCATCAGAATTATTTATTGCACAATAGACACACTAAAACTACCAGGAGTACAGGATAAGATAGGACAGTGCTCTACACTAAAGCAATTGTTGAAGCAATTCTACTCAAGCTGGCACAAAAGCAAGAATTCTTAATTAGAGATGGATGGAACTTCCCCAGAACAATGCTCGTGGGGAGATCTCTGCTCTCAGCCTCCAGCAGTGACCTTGGGGGGTCCCCAGTCATGGCAGGAATCTCCACACATCCCCAAGAAAGGTTCTGTTGGAAGAAGCTGCCCCTGGGAAAGGGGACTGGCCCATTCTGGTCAAAAGGGATGGACTGACAGTCACTGGACTCCAGGGGTTGCCTCACCATCAGGGGCTTTATTCGGGGTGGAAGCAGCGGCCGAAGCTCTTCCCACAGTCGGGGCACTGGTGGGGCTTCTCTTACTGGTGGGTCCGTTGGTGTTTGGTCAAGGCAGAGCTCTGGGTGAAGCTCTTCCCACACTCCCCACACTTGTAGGGTTCCTCCCTGGTGTGCATGCGCTGGTGCCTGACAAGGTGGGAGTTCCGACTAAAGCCCTTCCCACAGTCGGTGCAGCGGAAGGGCCTCTCATCCGTGTGCGTCCGCTCATGCCTGAGAAGATGTGAGCTGGTCTGAAACCTCTTCCCACATTCCGAGCACTTGTAGGGCTGTTCTCCAGTGTGGATGCGCCAGTGGATGCGGAGGTTGGAGCTGTCCTTGAAGCTCTTCCCACATTCCCCACACATGTAGGGCTGTTCCCCAGTGTGGATGCACTGGTGTCGGATCAGGTGGGAGTTCTGGTGGAAGCTCTTCCCACATTCCCCACATGTATAGGGCCGTTCCCCAGTGTGGATGCGCTGGTGTCTGAGCAGGTTGAAGCTCTTCCCAAAGCTCTTCCCACATTCCAAGCACATGAAGGGCTTCTCGCTGCTGGGAGGCTGCTCAGGGACCACCAGGTCAGAGCTCCCCCTCAAGGTCCGGCCACCTTCCCGGCACAGGCTGGCTCTTTCCTCCTCAGAGCACCCTGGGATGGCTTTGGAGCCCCTCCTGCGGGGGGATCTCCGGCCCTTTTCCTCCCCGCTGCCTTCCTGCGCCGGGGAGCCCTTCAAAACGGCCTCTCCCACCAGGGTCTCACGGGGGGATTTGTCCTCCGGGCTCTCCGTCCTCACCTCGGGGCCTGGGGCAGGAAGCAAGAAGGACAGGCAGGGGATTGGCCTCCGGCCCACAGGGAAGGCCAAGGACATCCCCCCAACTCCGGCCCCGGCAGGACGGCGGCGCCAGCGGGGTTGTCCTGCAGCCGGGGCCATGCTCGGCTGACAGAGCCAGCACAACACCCGCCCAAAGGGACACTGACTTCCTCCTCACCTGCCTGGGGGGACCAAGGCATCTTCCTCTTCCTCGCAGCCTCCTCCTCCATCCGCCCAAGCTTTGGGAAGGACAAATCCTGATGGGGGGAAAACAAGGGCTGAGCGCGTTGGCTTGGGGGTTCCTCCTGCCCAAGTCCATCTCTAGAACTCACCGGGCATCCTGTGTCCATAAAAACCTCCAAAACACCAAGATTCAGCTCAGAAAAACCCAAACCATCGAGATTCAGGCAAAAAACCCTCTCAGAAATAGTGAGGGACGGCTGTGCCCAAGGCACCCAAACAGCCCCACAGGCCAGGGGACACCAGAGGCTGCCCCAGGGCAATGACAGCAGGGAGCGGATCGGGCCCCCTGTCACGTGGGCGGGCTCTGGGTTCAGCCTGACCAGGGGCAATGTGGCACCAACAGCACGGCCTCGACCGCTGGCTCAGCACAGGGGGCCCGAGCTCCCCCCTCTCCAGGCTCTCGGGGCTCTCACAGCTCCCCCCTCTCTCCAGCCTCCCCCATTCTCCAAGGATCAAGGCATGGGGACACCAAGGCACCCGCACAGCAATGCCGTTCCTGCTCTCCTCCCTCCCCTTACCCTTCCCCACCCTGTTTCCATTGGCCCACAAACCCCAGCTCCCTTTGGGGGTGACCCACCGCCCCTCACGCTCCCTTTGGGGGTCCCACCCGCTCTTTTCGCTTCTCTCGCCCCTTTCCCATCGTGGCCGCTCCGCTCACCCGACAGCGGCAGGAAGGGCAGGGACAGGGGCAGAGCAGCAACAGCAGGAAAACAAGCACCTCCCCATCCCACGGGTGCCTGGGAACAGGGAACTCATTCCAAATATCCTGGGGGGAGTGCGGGAAGTCGGGACATACTGGGGCTGCCAGCACAGATTTCCTTGTGAAGTCTGCAGTGAGTCAAGCTCTGGAGAGGAGATTGTGCCCCATGGATGGGATTGCAGAGACTCCCTCAGGTCCCCACCAGGAATCAGCAACCAGCAAAAGACACCAAAGGCCCCCCCAAAGAGTTCTGAGGGAGTGTCCTGTAGGGAGGGGACAGTGTCACCCCACCAGGGCAGGGCTGGCAAGTGGGAGGCTGCTCCAGGGCTCTGCAAGAGGCCTCGTGCTCTGCTCGGCCCCACCACTGCCTGGTACCAACACCCCCGGCTGCCCCCGGCCCTGGGCAGCTCTGCTGCCACAGGCTGTGCCCTCACCGTGGTCCTGCAATGGCCCTGCCTGTCCCTCACCCGGGGCCCTGCCCGTGGCCCTGTCCCTTGGCTCTCTCTCTGCCAGCTCAGTGTGGGGCACACGGGCTGGGGGTCCCTCCCAAGCCCCCCGGGCAGCCGGCGTTGGCTGGGGGGATGTGAGGGCTGGGCCTGCTCAGCACAGCCCCGGCCTCGTGCCCAGCGCCTCTTTCCTGACCCACACAAGAGCTTCCCGGCCCCCCCAGGGCTCCCCTGCTGCTGCCTCTGCTCCTGGCCCTGCCTTTGCTGCTCCCTTGCCTGGGGCAGCGGCTGCAGGGGGGGATGGCAGCAGCTTCAGCTCCACGGCACTTCCTGGGGGGAGCTCAGCCCGGGGGGACGGGCAGGGACCTGATGGGGATGGACAGGGGCCCAGCAGGGACAGACAGGGCCTGCAGGGGAAGGCACAGGGACAACCTGGCCCCCCACACTGCCAGGGCTGTCTCTGCTCCTCCTTGCAGGCTCCGTGGCCAGGCACAGTTTGTGTTCCTGGGTGCCCACCATCTCAGCACTTGGAGACGCTCAAATCAGCGCCCGCAGCTCTGCAGCAAAGCCCCAGCTCACCTGGCACACAGGGGATGGACACAGGTCTCCCCTGAGCCTCCTCTTCTCCAGCCTCAACACCCCCAGCTCCCTCAGCCTCTCCTCACACCACTTGTGCTCCACTCCCTTCCCCAGCCTCGCTGCTCTTCTCTGCACCTGCTCCAGCCCCTCCAGGGCCTTCCTCAACTCAGGGGCCCAGAGCTGGACACAGCACTCCAGGGGTGGCCTCACCAGCGCTCACTCCAGCCCAACAATCACTTCCCTGCTCCTGCTGACACACTCTTCCTCACACAGGTCCCTCTGCAGAGCCCTCCTGCCTTCCAGCACATCAACACACCCCCAGCTTGGGGTCACCTGCACATTTGCTGATGAAATGCCTGGTTCTGCAGCAGCTGCAAATGCTCAAGGGGCAGCAGGACCAAGTCAGGGACCTGCGGGGGTCTGGGGGGCTTTGGGGTCCGAGAGGCTCCTGGGGGAGCTGGGGAGGGGCTTTGGGGATTGGGGGTACAAACCAGGACAGACCAGCACAGAGCAGGACAGACCAGTACCTCCTCACTGCTCCCTAGATCTCTCCTGGAGCTGGGCCACCTTGTCCTGGGACACCTGAGCCCCCCCAGTGCCCTCCCAGTACAGCCCAGTGCCCCCAGTACAGCCCACTGTGTTCCTGTCCCAGGGTGATCCCTCTTTGGGGGGGGGCTGGAAGGGGTTTGAGGGGAGGCTGGGGGAGATTTGAGGGGGAGGTTGGATAGGAATTTGGGGGGTTTGGGGTGCTTTGGTGCATTTAGGGGAGTTAAAAGGCGTCTTGGGAGGTCAAAGGGATCTGTAGGGGGAGGGGATTAAAAGGAAAATGGGGGTTGGGAGACATTTGGGGTGGTTAATGATGTCTATGGGAAAAGAGGAGGGGCAGCACCAGGAGCAGGTGAGTCCTGATACCCCCTTGGGGTTCCCAAGACCTTCTCAGTGTCCCTAATTCCCCCCTTAACACCCTGAGACCCCCCTCGTGTCTCCAATGTCCCCAGGGCCACTCCATGGCCATAATTCCCCCTAATTCCACTGTCCCCATACCCCACCCCACTGTCCCCAAACCCCAACCCTGATGTCCCCAACCTTCCATCTCACCCCAGGAGCCCCCCCTGGACCCTCTGACACCAAAATCATCCCCCTCCCGACCACACTCACAGAAAGGCCAAGGGCATCTGGGGACACGTTGGGGACAGTTGGGGGGCTTTGAGGGGCACTGGGTGATTACTGGGGGATACTGGGACACACTGGGGGGAACCAGAGAGCACTGGGAGGACTGGGGGGTTACTGAGGGACACTGGGAGGGCACTGGGAGGGTCTGGGGGGGAACTGGGGCACACTGGAGGGCACTGGCATTGAACTGGGGAGTTACTGGAGGATACCAGGACAACGGGGGGGACACTGGGAGGTTACTGGACCATACTGGGGCTTACTGTGTGCTCACTGCAGGATCAGTGGGCCATCCTGGGCGACAGTGGGAGGTCACTGGGACACACTGGCTGGTCACTGAGGGGGTTACTGGGCCATACTGAGGGTAACTGGGAGGTCACTGGGATATACTGGGGGCACTGGGATCCCCTTACCCAGATGTGGTACATCTCCCCCCCCAGATTTTGGGGGGCATCCCTAGGACCCCTCCCCTGGGGGCTGGGGGACCCCTTGAACCTCATTGCTGGGCTTTAGGGGACCCCCTAAAATCCCCTCAAAACCCCTGAAATCCCCCCTCGACCCATCGAAACCTCCTCAAGGACCCCTCATCCCTCCCCAGCATCCTCTAAACCCTCTCAGTGACCCACAAAACCCACCTGAGACTCCCCAAGCCCATTCAGGGACTCCCAATCCCCCCCACGGGCCCTCCAAACCATCTGAGACACCTTAAACCCCCCAGAGACCCCAAAACTGCCTCGAAGGTCCCCGCAAAGCCTCCCAGGAACCCCAAACCTCCCCAGAGACCCCAAAGCCCACCTGGGACACCCCAAATCTTCTCAGAAAACAAAACCCCCATCAGAGCCCCCCAGAACCTTTCAGGGACCTTCAGTCTCCCCCTCGAGTCCTTTCAGGGACCCCTCAAAACGTCCCCGGGAACCCCCGAACCCCCCCGCTAAACCCTCCCGAGCCCTCCAGCCTTTCCACCCACAGCCGCGCTCCCCGCAGCCCCCGAGGGGATCCCCAGACCCCGCTCTCGCCGCCCCCCCCGCCAACTCACCCAGCGAAGCGCAGCGGCCGCAGGCGAGTCCTGCTCACTCCCGACCACGAGGCCAAAATGGCGCTCGCTCCGCGCGCCCTCCGCCTTTACAGACCCGCCCCGCAGCCAATCAGCGCGCGGCCACGGCCCCTGCCCGCCCTTCGCCACGCCCCTACCTGCGCGGTGCATTGTGGGAGTTGCAGTCCCTGCGGTGGGCCAGGATAGAACTTTTTGGGGTTTAGTTTTTCTGTCTTCTTTTATTTTCTCTTTTTTCTTTTCTTTCTTATTTCTTTCTTCTTTATTTATTCCCTTTTTTTATTTTTCCTTCTCTTTTTTATCTTTTCTCTCTTTTCTCATTGTTCCTTCTTTTTGTTTGAGTTTTTTTCTCATTTTTTCCTGTTTTTTCTTTCTTTTTTTTCTCCAAAGTCCAGACAACTTTAGAAATAAATTTAAAAGCCAACATAGTGCTATAAATGTAAGATGTAAATGTAAGGAAGTAGTAATGAAATCTCTGGCAAGACTTCACTCATACTGTGCTCACTAATACTTACTACATCATCAAAATCTACTTTCTTAAAAATGTGAGAAAACAGTTGATCCTAGGAATAAAAGTTATGAGCTGGGAAGACAAGAACAGAAAATCCCTTCTTCTGAAACAGTCACAGAAAAGGAAAATAACTGTAACACCATTATGGAGTGATAAAAGGGAGTTCACACAAAGAAATATTTTACATATATGCAGAAGAATTACAAGCATTGCCCCATTCTTACTAATTCTTCCTTACTTTATTTGCTGTGATAAATAGCACAACTGTCTGCTTAAAACTGGGAGAATTTTACTCATTAATACACTACAGACTACGGAGAGTTTGTGTGCCAGTTCTGCTTCTCACTTGCTCAGTAAAGCTGAGCAGAACTTCTGATTATACAGAAATCCCAAGTGGCTGCAGACTGGGCTGGAAGGGAGCAAATCACCATGAAAAACAAAGTCCCAGGGCTCCCTGGGAGTGCAGAAGAGCAGGGACGGTGTCAGTAAAGACACCTCCTGAGAGGAACACGAACTGAACTCAAGTCTAGTTTTGTTTTTCCTTCTATCAAAGTTACTTGGGAGACAGCTGTGACAGTTTTTCTATAAAATGCAGGTAGAAGGCCAAATCTTGATTTCCTTGGCTTTGGCATGACTGACATATTTGGGCACTTTTTCTTTCCCTCACTTCAATTATATGGCAAGACAGCAGAGAACTCTGGAAAAAGGTTTCTTTAACACAAGTTGAAAATTAAGAAGTTATTTTTAGTTTGAAAAAAAATTGTGATCTTGGCTTATTTTGCATAAAGGTCATATTCACTCACCTGATGACAGTAAAAAAGCCAAAAAGCAACATCAGATATCTCAGACATTAAGGTATGTTTGGCAAGTATCATTACTATAGAAAAGAATAAACTGCTGTATCTTCCCTTTCTCTCTCCTTTTCTCTCTTCACTCTCAGTGGTCTTTGTGTCTCATTGTCTCAGAATTTTGCAGGGATTTACATTTTCCACACCTTACAGCACAAGGATATCCCCTTTGACATGGTAGCCAAGCTAATGTTTCATTGGAAACAAGCTATAGGAAGGAAAAATATTTTAGTTATGCAAAGAGTTTCAAGAATTCAGATACAAAATTTCAGATTTTTAAAATTCATTTTTGAAACTACAGAGAAAAATCCCACAGAGAAATTTTTAACTGTAAATAAATATATACAGTGTAAATAAAGAAATGCATGTTGGAAAAAAAATGTCTCATAATTGTAAAACAGTGATCAGCAGTAACTTCACAAAGGAACACTCCTTTGTCCTCTCTCACTCTCCCTTTTGTACAATCCTCCATCCAGTTCCATCAAGTACTCCCCACAATGGAAATTCCTGGAACAGCATTGTTTGTCTTATCCTCGAAAAGAGAATACTGCATGTTCACACTCATTAAAAGGTTTTGTACCTAATGAGACCTCTCTCACTCTTTGATCAAACAAAACTTCTGTCTCAGTGAAATCTTGGCTGCTGAAGTAAAAAAAAAAAAATTTCTTCTTATTTAATGGCACCCAGATTTCATTGAATGATTTACAAAGTGTGAAGGCACTGAACACAGCCCAGTGTAAAATCACCATTACACTCATCATTTACCATGCAATGGAATTGTAGAGCATTTAAAGAGTCATTGTAATAAACAGCACAGTAAAGCAAACAGACATTGTCCTAGTATGGAAGATTTCTTTAATAACTCTCACTGCTAATTTAATTCTACTTAAACACACATATCCCTAGGGAATGCCACGTGCTTTTCAGCAGGATTTTATGTGTAAATCAGGATAACACGTTTTCAGAGCATTAGCTAAAGGGAAGCACGAACTAAAACCTATTTAACCAATGAGGTATTGCTTTTAAACTACCACAAGGTGATAAAAAAGATAATTTCAAAGCTATAAGTTTTCTAATTGTGATAAACATGGATGTCATAAATCTGTGCACAGCCTTGCTTATCTTTAAAGATCCTTTACTTTGTCATTTGGTAACATTTTCACTACCAAATTTTGCTGTGCAAAATTAAAATGTGGCACTGCAATTAGAAATAACATTGTCTTACTGCTCAGTCTTAAATGAGCAGTGAAACTCAGATGCAGTTTTACTATTATATAACAAAGTATATTTGTTAATATTAGGTGCAACTGGACAATAAAATTGGAAAAGTCTAAAATGTGCTGGAAATTGACCTTTTCCTTATTTCTCAGTCATCTGTCACACAAACTCTGTATTGGATTTATTCACTTTCCTGAAGTCTTTCTGCTGGTTTAGACCCAAACCTAATCCATCTGTTTGCAAGCAAACTGTTTCAGTTTAACTGTATCTTTGAGCTCTAAGGTTTGTGGGATTTCTCTTTTCTTTGTTTTTGTTTTCCTTTTCCTTAAAATGGCATGTAAGTCACTCTACACTATTCTTACTTAACAGCTACACCTACACATCTCTCAAGATCAAGAGTTGTTGGGCTCTCACATTAGAATTCAAAACTGCCTTAAATTAATTGTTTCCATTGGCATTTATGCAACCAAAGCTGATTCTCCAGGATGGCCATGAAAAGGGAATGCAAAAGGGACACACCTACACCAGCTAGAAATGGAAAAGCTTTCTTGACATAAAAAAATAGAACCAACAACCAACCAAAACAAAACCACAGAACAAAACACTCACAGTGTTCAGGGTGTATTTGCTCAATTCTCTCATTTCCAGTTGTTATGAAGAGAACAGCCAGAGGGGTTTAGAGCCTCAGTCACTGTAAATCAGCACATTGGAACTGACTTTCTTACAACTAAAGAACTTGGTGGATTCTGGCTCAATGTATTGGCCATAGTTTATATTACTGTTATTAAACAAATTCTCTAAGTCTATCCAGTGAGTGCTCCTTGTCAGCACTTCCAACTTCTATTCTAAAACAGGTTCCAAAATGCAGATGAGTCTCTCTCTATTCTTGGACAAGATTACCTGTCCCTGATAGAATACACCACCATTCACAGAAAAATAATTAAGTATATAATACACCTCTCACCTTCACAATATGATACCTACACAACTGTTTTCATTCTCTAGTTCTTAAAGTTAACCATGTGACAAATTAGAAGCCAAAAAGAACAATTTTGTTAGGAAGAACTACTAATCCAAACATATTCTTCTGAACTTCCAGTCCTCAGTTGAGATAATAAATCACATTTTGTTCAACAGAGTGTTTGTGGAATTGTTCCATGCACAGAAAAAGCACTTTTTTCCTACTCACCTCATGGAGGCCTGACAATTGTTACAGCATCACTTATCAAGCTGCCCTGGCTGTTGGATGCATTCACTTCCACTGTGGAGTTAGAAAATGGAATCAGGCCTTTAATGGTACCCACACATTGAATTTCCTGCTGCTGCAGAACATCTGAGTGTCATTTACCACAAAATAATGAGTGTTATCTGCTGGGGAAAAAAACAAGAAAGCGGGGAGAACAAATGTTAGACCTTGTGTCTGCTACAATTCACTGCCTTTAGGAACTAAGTCTTCAAAAGAAGACTTGCTATTTATACCAATAACACACATACACACATGAAACTTTGGTTATTGGGGAGAAAAAATATTATTCATCATTTCTCCTGCTTTTGGCAACAGTTTATGGTACCTGTAAATCTTGGAAAATAAACAAACCAATCCATGAAGCAACCATGCATTGCAGAGCTGACTGCTCTGTACTGCAAACAGGAGCCAGCTCTCAGAAATTACTGATCTTCTAGAAAAGTTGTGGGATAACTGCAAATTCCAGACATTAGTGTTAATTCTTGTTCCTATGATACACTGGTAAAAATTTCTGAATTCACCAGAAAAGTGCTCCCCTTAGGAGTTTATAAGCTAACTCATTGCATACAGCAGAAAAGGTCACCTGCAGTAACACCTGCTTTCCAGCATGGCCTGCAGTTCCCTCAAAGATAAAAGGATTTCAAGCATTCAGTTTATCAGCTGAAATCATCCTACATATCCTTTGCAAACCTTTTAAGATCTCAAACTTAAGATAAGACAATATTCTGCCCTACAAAAATAAAGAAACCCTTTCCAAAATACCCGGTAAGACTAGAAAATAAAATAAAATTGTATGTCAGGTAACAATTTTTTTCAAATCAATGAAGAGTTAACTCACATATCTGAGAGCAAAGCTGAGCTCATTTAAAGATTATTCTGTATTTTGAACATAGAAAGCACTCTATAAATGATTACTATTATTACTACTGTTCATTATTCCACGGAGAGCTCTCACAGTGAATCAAAGGAAATTCTCTGTTACAAACAGCAGCAGAATCACACAAGTCTAAGATCACAGGTATGAGAATGAGATTAAACAGTGTATAACTCTTAAAAATATTGTAAGTGAAGTCAGGCATTGTCACAGGCAGCAGATTGAATATTCACATCTGAGTCCTCTACAAAACCTAGATAAGACAGAATTACAAAAAAACCCCAGAAAATCAATGTTTTAATTAATTTTTTAAGGGAAACTCCTCGGATTTACAAATTTTTATTTGGGTTTTAAATGAACTGTTAAAACTGAAATGTCATTAAATGTGAAAACGGTTTTCCAATCTCCCCTATTTCCATGATGTGCTCTAACACGTGTGTGTGCAGCACATTTCAG